GGGGCGGCGCGGTGAATCCGCTGAAGCGGCGGCGTTAAAGCGCCCCGGGCGGTGGTCAGCGGGGTGGGGAGGAGTTGGCAGCAGCGCGGGCTGGGGGGTGCCACGCAGCTCAGCCGGAGTCCCGCAGCGCGCCTGGAGAAACGAGGCCTTTGCCCCGTAGCCACCCTTTGAGCGTCCGTTCGCTTATCATTTAACTTTCTCGCGCTGGCCCCAGTGGAAGGTGGGCCTAACCCCACGACGTTGCCAGAGGCAGGTCCCTTGCTGGGGATCCTTCTTACGCGCTTCGAATTCCGGTGCCCAACGCACCTCACTCGCACAGCTCACGGGAGAAACTTAGAAACCGGCCCACTAAGCTCCGCCAGACCCGTAACTCCAGATGAAGACAGCGAAATGAAGGCAGGAAGGCACACACAATTACTACTCACTTCCTCAAAGGCAGCTCAGCGACGAGCTGACCAACTACTGCTGCCCCTTAGCCCAGCCAAACACCTTCGGTGTACCTCCAACGTTTTAAAAATACCTAAACCTGCACAAGTGGAGCAAGCACAGACAATTACAGGGTTAGTCACCGTCAACAAATACTCGCATGCTGGTGTGTAAGTCTGTGAAACAACTGGTATTCAGGGAGACAAGAAAAATCCCTTCAAGTACTTGAGGGAGCAAAACTGCATTAAGAACTGAACCACTCCACAGGTTAGTCTGAAATAGCAACAACTACGAGGCAGCTGTACACTATCAAATATTCCAGCTAATTTATAATTTGAAAATATTACAAATAATTTGTACTCAAACTTTTCCCCGTGTTTAAAAAATGAAACTTTCTGAAAAAAATAATTTTAGTAAAAAACTAATTTTTTAGTCCAAACTTGCGTGATATTTTTAATCGTATTCTTTATAAAAATGTGAATATTTTGCTCCCTTCAAAAATTAATAACTTTCTCCAAAACTATAGCTATCAACTGGGCAATGAGTAATATCCTCAAAAACAAATTTGGAGAGCATTTTTCAGTGAAAATACTGCACCAAAACATGTTATTTTCAGACATTTACATAAGGTGTTTCAGTGAGGTGTTTACAATACAGATGTGAGCCAGAGTAATACCTAAATTTCATAAATGGATTTGTTCTCTGGAACTAATGAAAACAGCAAAAAATGTTTCATTAAAATTCTCAGTCAGTGGCTCTGACTAACTACAGGTGGCAAACTCCTGAGAAAGTAATTCCCACTTTCAGTCCCATTTTTAGAGGGAACACTTTTTATGCACTCTCCTTTTCCTCCATAAAATGGAAGTAAAAACAGTGAAAAGACTAGAACAAATGCAGTGAACAGATTTTCACCCTTATTTAAAATCACAGCTGACCCAGAGTCAGAGTTGCAGCTATTTGATCCTTTGAAATTTTATGTAGAAAGGAGGAAGCAAAGTCTGACACGCAGTTCCTCTAAACATAGCTCAGTTATTAGCCCTAATATCAGTAGGACAAAGACAAAAGTGTTATGCCCAGGAAAAGGTCCATGAAATTATAAAATGTGTTTTTCTTTTTTTGAATCGTGTAGAACATCTGTTGAAAAAAATACCCTGCCAAGAGCATTTGCAGGCACTTATCTGGTGACGTGGATTTACACGAGGAGTTTCACTGCACATGCCTGAAAGTTTGACAACTTCTCACCATAATGACTTTTGTGTTAATTCCTAAATTTTCCTGGAATATGAAACCCCTGCCTGCTTCTAGTCCAGTTGTAACCACTGTAGAGCCCCACTGAAACCACAGCTGGACGTCTGAGCCTCCCCAGCACATCCACAGTAAAACCAGTGATTATAACAGGACCAACTACAGAGTTGCATGGATAAAGCAGTGAAAAATAAATTTAATTTGACCAGGAGATTAAAAGTCTAATTTTTGCTTCTGAGCTACTCATGTACAGTTAAAGAATTATACCTTAAACAAAGAATGAAAATGTAGAAGACTCAACAGCAATCTTACCTTCAGTTTCTATGATGCCTTTCCCAAGCACGCACGCGTTGGAAATTCAGGCTCAGCTGTAGAATTGGCTATACTTGAGCTATGAAACGCACCAGCTACAGCATTAGAGGGGCAGATCACTCTGGTCGTACAGCAAATACCACTGCTCGTAATAATGAAACAAGCCCCCTGTGCTGTGTCTGCCACAGCACAATTCTGAAACGATTCAGCCACTCTTGGGGTTTCTCAGCGATACATTTTCCAACCCATTCCTAGCCCTTAGCCTCCTTGGTAAGACTGCCAAGTTACTAATACATCTGTATGCTATAAGGATATCTAACTTCAGGAAAGGACTGCAGTCTCAGTTTATTCCGTGTAGTGCACAGCTGGCCACTGGCCTATTTGCCCTGTGAGATCCTTGCTAAAGGCTATTTGGGGAAATACCCGTTTAA